AATGTTAATATTATGTTTATTGCTTTCAAGCAAGCCATGTAATTTGGATATACAGGGTGGTCCGAACTGTATTCCGGAAACTTCGGCAGCATATTTTGCAGATAAAAATAAGTAAAAAAATTCTTATAAATGTATGCCCTAAAATGCTTAGTTTCGGAGATACAGGGTGTAGAAGTTTCATTTTTATTTCGATTTTTTTCTAAATAATTTCTGAAGTAACATCGCTATTTCGATGAAAATTGGCAACTGGGAGTTTTGTGACACCAGAAATTTGATTTTGATGTCAAAATGACTCCTATTTGTAGGGGTCGCCACCTACATGTGTTTTTACTGTTTTGAAGAGTAATAACTTTTTGTCCGTACCTGTATAAAACTAATGACTGAAAAAATATAAATTTCCATGAATTTTTACATAAAAAATGTCTCTTAATATATGTCATTATTGACGAAAAATATACAAACGTTGAGGATAGTTATTTGACTGAAATAATAAATTTTTATTTTTTAAATTAATCATAAATTTTTCTGCGAAAAAATGACGATTAAACAGTTTCTATTGAACTTTTGGCACAAAAAGATTTCAAATTTATGATTTCAGTCTAATAACTATTTAGTCATATTTAGTCAAGGCATGTTTAATTTATGTCAATGGAATGATGACAGGTATTGATAATTTCGATTCCAAATATCTCGAGAACCATTACTCGTAGCGATTTTTACCAAGAGACCTCTTTTATCTAAAAAAAATCGTAAATATATATTTTTTTACTCAGTAGCTTAGAACCATTACTCGTAGCGATTTTTACCAAGAGACCTCTTTTATCTAAAAAAAATCGTAAATATATATTTTTTTACTCAGTAGCTTATACAGCTATGGACGAAAAGTTATTACTCTTCAAACCAGTTAAAAAATAATATGTAGGTGGCGCCCTCTACAGGTAGGGGTCATATTGACATGAAAATCAAATTTCTCATATCAAAAACCTCCCAGACACCAATTTTGATACAAATATTGATGTTACTTAATAAATTATTTGTAAAAAATCGAAAGAAAAATGAAACTTCTACACCCTGTATCGCCGAAACTAAACATTTTAGGACATACACTTATACGAGCTTTTTTACTTATTTTAACCTGCAGAATATGCTGCCAAAGTTTCCGGAATACAGTTCGGACCACCCATAGAGAGAATATACACTCACCGGCAAAAAAAACGGCCACTAAAAACTAGTCCCAATTTCAAAGTTGGATTTTTCGCGAACCATTAGATTTTGATGATTTTTTTTTAAATTGTAAATTAATTCCTTCTTAACGGATGCTATGTCAGCAATTTTTATTCCGAATTTATTTTGAGCATATACAGGGCACAACAATAAGACGAAGTTTTTTGCCCAAACTTTGCAACAGCCTGTAGGGTGCAGCAGCTGTAGTAGCTATTGCTAAATCAAATCACATTGTAGCCTCATCTTTTTTGAGCATTTTGTTTTTTTAATCACGACATTATCTCTGTTTGTATTGGAGATACGCTGCTTTAAAACAAACGCCTTGAAAAAAGCTTTAAAATCAAATCAAACATCAAAACGTATACGTAAACTAACTAAAACAAGAAAATTAAAAAAAAGGTAAAGAAATTTTAAGGGACTAATATCTAGTGTCCACTTGCCTGGTGAAATTTCCCGTTTCCATATACCGATTCCAGGCATCCTGGACTGTTGTTCGAAATATGCCCAGGGTATCGGAGACATAACGTTGACTTCGGCCATCCCCAATTAAAGCAACAATACGAGCCACAATAAAGCCACAACATCCGTTACACATAATGGCATTTTTTAATTTGACAACCGTTTTTCTCATATTGCAAATACTCATAAATCCGTTTTCGCCTATGTCGCCTTGATTATTTACACATAAAACTTTCTGCCTTTTCCGAAATGAATTCTGAATTTTTCCGAGACGTTCGTTTTAAAACAGCATATCTCCAATACAAAAAAAGATAATATGGTGATTAAAAAAACAAAATGCTCACAAAAGTTGAGGCTACAATGTGATTTAATTTAGCAATAGCTACTACCGCTGCTGCACCCTACAGGGTGTTACAAAATTCGGGCAAAAAACTTCGTCTTATTGTTGTGCCCTGTATATGCTCAAAATAAATTCGGAATAAAAATTTCTGACGTAGCATCCGTACAGGAAGCATCCTTACCGTTAAAAGGAATTGATTTACAAGTGGTTCGCGAGAAATCCAACTTTGAAATTGGGTCTAGTTTTTAGTGGCGGGTTTTTTTTGCCGGTGAGTTTATATACCGATCTGGTGATCGAAACTGCGTGGTCTGGATTTTATCGTGTAAGACAGTGATGTACAGCTTAATGGCAAATCAAATATATTAAAAAGAGATAAAAGTTGGATTGATACGAATAAAATTTCAAATCGTACAAGTAGGCGTCTATGAAAAATATTGCATATCTAGGCCTGGAACGTTCTATTTCCAAAAATATATAGTGATGATTTAAAATACGCATTGTACACATACTACTTTGGGTTGTTTTGTTTGATAATTACATTGTTTAAAAGTGGTTAAAAGTTAAACATCTATAATTTATAGACATTAGTACAAACAGTAGGTAGTAGGTCTGAGTAGCAAAAGTCATGATTTTTTATTTAATAAATGGTAGACAATAATAGAATTCATTGTTTTTAGTAATAATATTCTAAAACTATAAAAACCTCTCTTTTGGGATCACTCTGAAGATCCGAATTTACCACTAATCTTAAGTTTCTAGATTTGCCACTAATATGAAAAAAAAACAGCAATTGATTGTCATTATATGGGCAATGCCACCGATAGAGTAATTTCCAAGCCAACTGGACGCCGTTTTTTTCGATATACGAAATAATAATAAAAACTGATCTTTTCTTTCAAAGCTGGAGCAGCAATTATTTAATTTGCTGAAATTTGTATATTAGTATGTAATAGTGTGATCCAGGATCAAGTGGTCAAGTAATATATTAAGATTATTGTTAGTTCCCAGTAATAATTAGTACGCAGAAAGAAAAAAATGAGTACGACACAAACCGAGCATCGGGGTACGTCGGGCAAAACATACCCGTTAAGTTTTTGTTCTTTCTTCCGTATGTGGCTTAGTGTTGGCGGTTGGAATCGCCATGGATATTTTTAGGCAAAATATGAATTAATATGTTTTGGTGTCTGAAGAAGCGACAATAAAGTCGCGAAACGTCTCAAAAACATTGTTTCCCTTTCGAGCCTTCCCAAACACCCACGATTTTTTCTGCGTAGTAATATACCCGGTGCGTCTCAATAGTGGCTCACCCCTGAGAATAACTTTTTTATTTTTTCAGACAAAATAAAGATATTTGGTATAGTTAAGTATAATAATAAGATTGGACTTGAAGTTGACGTATTTAATTGTTTCGGTCACTTCCGGTTTCACCGGAAATGAACTACAACTTCTTGATTTTAAATGAACACCCTGGTATTATTTTTTTTGACTTTATCCGATGGAATGACACACTGTGGTCTTGATAAAATTCGAATGGCACATAATCGATATGTCCACTTTTGCGACAATCGTTGGCATGATGGTTGTAATTTTGAAATTGTAACCATGCGGTTATGAACGACAATTTGACTCAATAATACCAAGTGTGGTGGTATCAAATTATCGTAAAAAAATGCTTTTCCAAATTATGCTAATGAGCCAACCTCGTTCCATTGTGAAAAAGAATATGAGTCAGAATAGCTTGTGCATCAGTTTAAACCGGCAGGACAAGAACACCAAAATCATTAGAACGATCAAAATTTATTTTTTCCAAGGCTCCTTGATTTAATTAGTGTTTTTAAATTAAAAAAAAAAAAAAAAAAAAATAAATGAATTTTGTTTTTGAGTGAGTATGTCAAAAATTGACACATGATATGTCTTCCGATTCAGAGTGTCATTTTTTCTATATAGAAGTAAAAAATAACCGAGGGTGCATTTACAAATCAAAGTTGTTTAGTCATTTCCAGTTAGCAAATGGAGACATCCGGGAATCTTTTAGGGATGTTGCCTGGGAAAGTTCCAATGCGGATAGTGGATGGGTAATGGGCGGAAAATTTGTTTTTAATGTATGAATAAAATTTGGAAACATTCCCGGGAAGTGGTTCCGATTTCCCAAATGCAGAAAAGTGATAAGTTAAGAAAATATAACTTTCAAATATAATTTAATTTTTATTATTCTCATAACTAATAATATCAGTTTGTACGTATTGCTAAATAATTCAATCAATCCCACCTCTATGCTTATAGACTAACCAAGTTATTTCAAAACAAACTAAACCATACCAAATCTCGTTATTTTTATCTGGAAAATAAAAAAGATATAGGGGGTGAGCCACTTTGAAGAGATTAATTTCCTTTGCATATAAACAAATATATTTCAGTATGTATACCATAACATCGAGAAAAAACGGCGTAGAGTTAACTTTGAAATGCCGATCGATAACATTGTAGCATTGATAGCAAACTTTGATGCGTTAATTTAATAAAATTATGTATTTTTTAGGTTTTAAGATATATATTGAACCATATAACCAGAAAAAACTATAAGCACTGGATATAAAATCTATTTTGTTCAATGGTACTTTCTGAAGTAGTTAGTACATTAATTATAATGTGGTTACCGATACGCCAAAAAACGGCTAATGCATTTATACCCTGTATAGAATAATAAAGAATCCAAGCTTGGTTCAAATTTTATTTTAAATTTTAGGGGCTTTACATCGTTATATTAATTTTATAAATCTACGATTTATAATATTCAGGTAAAATGTTACTGTTGTTCACAAGACCAATTAAATAATATTTACAAATTATTTTTCTTTAATAAAAAAGTTTTTTTAAATATATAAAAAATTGTATTTTTTATTTTATTAAGAGATAAAAGAATAAATGAATATCTTTCGATCATATTAACGGCATCCGGCAACAACTCTTTAAAAATATTTGAATCTACTTCTGTGGAAGAACAATGATTGTGTCGAGAAGGGGTTAACTACCCCTCTTAACAATAACAATGGACTAATGGTATATGGCCAGAACGCTATCCTGTATTATCGGAATTTTATGGAGAATTCCAGTTCTGTGCCATACACCTCGCACTTTTGTTAGTAACCGACATGGCTGACCAGCCAAGGCCATAGGAACGATATCAGGATTCCTGAGAAGATTCCTGTTATGAGGGCGGCTCCCGCGAACATTCCCGCTATGGATGCTTGATGTTCCGGAACGGTGCTGCAAAAGAAAAATACATATTAAGTTTATAAACATAACATTATACTCATAATAATACCTAAAATTTGGTAAAAATATACAGGTAACTCTATTTAAAAAAATAAAAAAAAAAAAAAAAAGTAATTTTTTCATAAAAATTCAAAAAATAATTTTTAATCAAATTTTGTTTTGTGAGGGGGACAATTTTGTCCCAAAGATGATTGCAAAATCTTCAACCCCTGCTGGTAAGCCATCCCCCATTTTTTCAAATGGGAAGGGGGTCAAGGGGAAAATTCGCAATGAAAAGGGCTTTCTATTCTCTATAATTTCTCCCCGCTTCGTTTTGGAAAATCGGTCGAGTCATTGAGAAAATATGTAGGATTGAAATTTGAAAAAGTTTATTTAAACATTTATCCATTGCCTGGAAACTTATATGGTGAAATTTTGATAAAATAATTTAGTACACACTAAAACACGGTATGTCGCTAGTGGTAGGAAATATAATTTAGAGGTTACTAGTTTATTTGGTTGCTCCGTGTATGTGTATATACAGGTGTTTCCCAGAATTAATCCAGGTACTATAAAATCGTTAGAAACGAATTATATGTATTCTTTAATAAGTATATATTTATTTTTCTCGACAACCGTTTGATGAACAAGAAAACTCAAAAAGATCAATTTTTGTTGAAAAAGGATGGCTGTGTCAAGAAAATATATTTTCTTTGAAAAAGCAGTAGTGGAAAATTCATTTATGTTAAGCGAAAACATCGTTTTTTTTTTTTAATTTTTAACATCCCAGGACTGTGAAAGGAAGTACACACTTTAGATTCCAATACCGGTTATACCCGTATGATCGAGAAAAAACGGCGTCAGCGATGGCTATGGAATGAAGATCGCTGTCATTTTATATGTAAATTTATATGGGAAATGTCATTGATGTTCATTTCCCAGCCAACTGGACTCCGTTTTTTTTCGATCATACGGTATAAAAATTGTTTTAAGAACGCATGAGGAATCACACCATAATTTTTTTAGACTAATTCGAAAACACCCCGTATATTGTCAACTTGACAATGACTGCTGATAAATCAAAAAATACCTTTTCAGTGAAAAAAGCCTGATTTTCGCAGGAAAAAATTTTGATTCTTTTATTGAATTTAATAGTCTGCGTTTGCAAATACCTTGGTTTGTTTTTTAATTTCTATCCATCTAAATTTTAAATATCATATCGTGAAATAGCTCTTTATTATTTTTAACTGTAAAAATGGTGTTTTCTTTGTTGTGTTGCATCCTTGCAAATAAACCAACAAAACCGCAAAACAATGCGTTTCCAAAAGACGATAAGGTATGTATCTTAGATAAAGGAAAAATATATGGTATGTATTCGTTGTTTGATTTTTTTTCGGAAAAAGGATGGCCAGTCAAGAAAAATATTTTCTTTAAAAAAGCAGTGGTGTACCATTTATGTTAAGCAAAAAAATCGTTTTTTTTTTAAATTTTTAACACCCTGTAGATCAGAAAGGAAGTATACTCTGTTTTTTTCTCAGGTAAGATTTCGACAGACGATGACAGAAGAAAAGCAGAGGACGTCCCATACCAATCTATTTATTTTACTAAAAAAAGTTTCTAATAATTTTTAAGTTAACTATGGATGGTTTAAATATAAACTAATAAGGTATCTTTTGTGTTTAACCAGTTTTATTGGTTTATTTCAAAAATGACAGATCGTATTTCAATTTTATTGGTTTGATGGAACGATGAACGACAAACGGACGCCGATGCGTATGAACTCGCCTTTAGATTTTTGACGTCACATTAAAAGCCCTACAAATTAAAGGTTGTTAATTTTGTGTCAACTTTGTCAAATACCCCTGCGTTTTGGAAGATGATGCATTTTGATTCGTGTTATTACGTGTGTTTTGTGGCTTTTGAAGTCAAATGGAGGAAAATCGAGGGAAAAGTAACTGTAGACCCAGAGCACAGTTTATGGTTAATACTCGCTGCCCAGGCAGAAAGTCTTATACACCAATAAAGTTACCATCAATAAAGTTTGTGTATCATCTCGTCGTAGATAAGTGCATCTCGTATATGATAAAAGGATCAAACTAAACACATACTACAAACTGGAGTAGCTGTAAAATATCGACATCACATGATAGGTAAATAATGAATTAAAATTGCAGAAAATAATGTCAAAAGGTAGTGGTTTAAAAAATTAAGATTAAAGTTAATTAATCAACCTTTAAGGTATAAAATTTGGTAAGTGTTATTACTAACAAAACAGTTTGTTTTATTTATGTTGCTTTATTTATTCTTGTGGAATATTACAAATTCCAAATTTGTATTTGTACATAGTTATATTGATAAATATAATCATAATGCTGGAAGTTTCATGAAGCTTAAGTAAGAAATAGTTCTTTTATATTTTTGGTATGTGGTGTCTTGTTCTTGTTTATTTTGTATTAACACACCGTTTTTTTTGTTAAATAAAATAACCTGATTATATTTTTTCAATTTATACAGTTTTTTCACAATATTTTGAAGTAATCACTTGTCCTTGTCAGTCAAATTTGAATATATTAATTTCCTACCATGCGTTCCAGTTGTACCAACTTATTTCTTTGTAAAATAAAATAAACTGCTTTGAAAATAAAATGACAGACACATCTATCACTGTCACGGATCTTCTCGTTGGACAGACTATACTTTAGACCTAATGGTTATGTAAAAATTGTTTTAAGAACACATGAGGAATCACACCATAATTTTTTTAGACCAATTCGAAAACACCCCGTATATTGTCAACTTAACAATGACTGCTGATAAATCAAAAAATACCTTTTCAGTGAAAAAAGCCTGATTCTCGCAGAAAAAAAAAAATTTGGATTTTTATTGAATACAAGCCCATGTTTCTGTAAATACTGGTTTGTTTTTAATTTTCTATCTATCTAAATTTTAAATATCATAGTCAGAAATAGTTTTATTATTTTTAACTGTAAAACGGTGTTTTCTTGTTGTGTTGCATCTTGCAAAGAAACTAACAAACTGCAAAAATGTACGTGTTTCTAAAAGACGATAAGGTATGTATCTTAGATAAAACAAAATATATGGTATGTATTCGTTATTTGATTTTTTTTCGTCTACCTTTAAAATCTATAAATCTCGGTTTATTCATTAGACAGCCAGTCGACTTCTAATGAGGATCATTTCATATGAAACCGGTAAAATAAATAAAAGCAACAAATATATATATATATTCTTATATATTTTTATTAAAGCTACTCTGATATACCAATATATCAGTGTAACTTTAAAATAAATCCTTTGAATTCAAATATAAACATAAAAACATTTTACAGCAGAAAAGCAAAGGCGCTTGGTTAAACGTAGTCTCCACTAAAAACACGGAAGGGCGCTTTGACCCAAAATTTTACTACTAAGTTTCATATCTATCTTAATAGTAGATTATTTTCTTTTATCTATGCATTTATCAGAGTAAATGATAAGGATAAATTCCTTCGACCAATTTGCTGTTTTTTCCTTATTATTTCTAGATGTTTACGCATTTTTCAATTTGCCACAAGGTTAAACGATCAGGTTAGGTAGTGTACCTTCTTTTTGAACGGTGTAGTTAATCGGCAACTGTCGGTACTGGGTTGAGGACAACCCCAGGGTTTTTCACGACATGCACACACAAACTCTCAGAAATTGAACGTGTGGGCTGGTATTTTAGAAATTCTATTATGGGTCCTTTTGTTCTTCCTGGAAATCTAACAGGTTATATGTACTTGGATTTACTGGAAAATACCATCGACCCAGCCCTAAGTGACATCATAGAGAACAATCCTGGATACGTTGAAGCGGAACTAATATTTCAACAAGACGGTGCACCTCCACATTACTCTCAAAATGTGCGTAATTATAGTAAACGCCACTAATGTTTGGGAGTGATTCATTGCTTGATGAAGTTAGAATCGACACGCTATCATTTTTACATTAAATACGTAATTTTTTACCGCAGATGTAGGTTTTTAAAGGTCCGGTCTAATAATCTGCCTGCGCTCCTCCTACTTATTCTAAAATGTTAGCGTGATTGACAAAGACGATACTATATCGCATTTCTTTGATCGATTCGTTTTTGTGCGTCAGTCCATTGGTGTGCTTGCAGTGCGACCAATAGACCATTCCAGAATGACGTCACTGACAGGTCGGCAAAATTTGCTGGGAGGCACACAAACCAATTAATTTTCACGTTGTCCATATGTAAACACAATAATCCAAGGTTTAAACGAACTTAAAACAGTGAAAAATGCCTCATTTTTATTGTGTTATTAAGTGTTTAATGCGTGATAATGTCTAATTTTTCCCAAATCATGCTGCTTTGACCAACAGAGGAAATAATTTAAATACATTATCTAATGTTCGAAGAGAAGTGTGGTTAAAAGCTTTGAAATGAAAGGCCCCTGTATGAAAGTGAGATTAAAAAGAAACGAATTTGTTCCAAAGACTTTATAACTGGTAACGTTTTGCAAAATTATCATTTATTGAGTTTAAATTAGCGAAAAATAAGTTTTTGTTTTTAAGACGAATTATGTTCGGAGATAAGTCTAATTCAGCCAAAATTTGGGATATTCTTCCTGTCTCCAACTACTTCCTGTCTTCAACCCTACAAGTCATCTTCTAGATTTGGCAGATTAAGAAAAAGATTTAAAAATGAATCAGAGGTTTGTTATATATACTAAGATATATACAAGCGTATAAAGTATTTTTATTTTTAGTTAAAGATGTTGCTATAAAAGATGAAAATCGACTAGTGAATTTTCATAATCCTCCAATCGTTAATCAACTTTATTCAATTTAAATCGTCTGAGATAGAAGACGATAAACCTAAATACACGACAAGGATTGCACTTCTGGAACATCAGCTGAATAAGAACGATAACAATTAATAGAAAAGAGAAATTAATAGATTGCCACTTGAAGTCAAGTTAATAGAAGTAAAGAGTAGTTTGAGACAGAAGTAAAGAGTAGTTGCACAATTGAAATATTTGTTAATTTGATTTAGAGTCAGATTTCCTGTAGACAAGTCAATAAATATTGTGTGACGTTATTTCATTTTCTGTATATACTATTTTGTATTTTTACATTTGTATGTTACATTCCTTGACGTAAAGAATATTATTATTATTAACTACTAATAAATGTAGATTTATTTAAATATAATAGGATTTTAAAAAAATATGTGTTTATTTTTAATAGTATAAACCTTGGTTTATAAAGTTTAAATATCTATTATAAATTTTAAATAATATCTGAAACATCAATCCATGAGTTAAACCTGGAAGAAAAGCCTAACCACTTCACATAAAATTGTCTATTATTATTTTTCTGGTGGTGACCTAGCATTATTTCAACTAGATCAATACCAGGAGACTTTGTCTTCTGTAATTCGGCCTCATAAAAATACCCTTTAATTGGTTGACTTACTGATTCTAGGATAATTAAAATTGAGGATTAAAGAAAATTGAGAATTAAAAAAATATGTCTATAACGCTATAAAAGACTAAAAACACAAAGAAATGAATGCAAGTTAATGGTTTATATACACAGATTTATATACGGTTTGTATGCCTCCCAGCGAAAATGGCGGATCTGTCAAAGTCAAGTGTTCTGGAATGGTCTATGGGGCATTCCATTTTATATTTATAACCAAATATATGTTTTGACAAGACTTTGACAGTTAAAACAACAAATTACAACAGATTATATATTGATTATTATAATGACTTGAAACACCACGGCACTGGAATTAAGTTTTATGTAACCTTGAACAGATTAGTTCACATGGTAGCGACCGATAAATCACTCCCAAACATTCGTGGCGTTTACTATATATTTAAACAATAACTTTCTCGGTCGGTCGATAGGACGAAGGGGTGCAATTGAGTGGCCTCCCCGGTCACCCGACTTGACTCCTTTAGACTTTTTTCTATGGGGACACATAAAAAGTAAAGTGTATAGCACTCCACCCGCCTCATTAGAAAACCTGCAAAGACGAATTATTGATGTTTGGATAGTGAAGTGACCCCGCAAGTTTTTCAGAATGTTCTAGAACGGGTTTGGAAATAATTTTTCAACCCATTCAACAACATTTTCAGCATTTGCTTCATTAATAAGGTAAGTTTTTTTAATTAATTCAATTTATGCGTTTTTTGCAAAAAGTACTTTTCAAATTTCAATCCTTCATATTTTCAAAATGACTCGACCGATTTTTAAAAACGAAGCGGGGAAATATAGAGAATAAAAAGCCCTTTTCATTGCGATGCCAGTTGACCCCCTTCCCATTTGAAAAAAGTTGGGGGATGACACCCCCGCTTAGAGGGTTGAAGATTTTGCAATCATTTTTGAGGCAGAAGTTGTCCCCCTCACAAACAAAATTGACGTGTTTTTGGATTTTTTGAAAAAAAAAATACCCTAGCCGTTATGCCTTGCGGAACGTTTTCGATGGGCCACCCTGTATAGCATAAATGTGTTATAATGAAATATGGAAAAATACCTAAAATATTTAAAATTACGAATTTGTGTAAATATGGCAACATTTTAAAAAAGTAAAATATGCTTTGGATAGAAATTCTCTACATTGCACATATTTACACTTTTTTTCTAGTATATACGGTTTAGAAGTTATCGGGGCTTCTATAACATTTTAAAATGAGCCATTTCTCCAAAAATTTCAATATTTTTTAATTAATTTATTTTTGAATTTAGGAAAAACTTTATTTGAACTTTTTTAAGTGATACCTACCTAGGAGCGTACATCATTGCTATTGAACTGAAATAACCACTGGTAAGTGCCATTGTGGCTGCTATAAACCAATAGACATAGTCGTTGTCTATGCCAACTGGTAAAATCCTCTGAATTCCTATCGGCTGGTAATTGCAAAACAGGTACAGTGGTATATAAAGGAATCTCAACGTTACAGGGATCCACAGATATTCTTTTTTGGGCTAAAAATTTCAACTAATATGAGTAAATAAACAAATTATCCAGCAGCTTTGAACAACAACATAAAACGTTAAAGGCTTACAGTTCGTAACTTTACTAAGTTCCAGGTCACTTTTAAAAAGGCCCTACACGCTACGATATCTGAGTGATTTGAACTGATGTACAGTTCTTCGATTCAGTCTAAAGACTTTAAATGTATTTGGTCTGGACCTATCATCTGCAAGTGAAAGAAAACAAAATAAAAGTTGCAACAACTTATCATATGCCAAAATGCGTATATGTATTATTAAAAGTACGTGTTGTAGGAAAAGTTGCTGCAACTTTTCTTGCATGCAAGTAAAATTGCGAACTGTAAAACGTTTTACTATAACCATGTTAGCATCATAGGCAGATGAAAACTAGCTACACATTGAATAGGTTACAGTCTTTAAATGTAAAAATTGTATACAAACAGGTTTTCCATAAAACTACTTCAACTGTCATCGTCCAAAGCGTGTTTGATCATGATTTGATCATTCTGTATATCGAAAGTACATTTTCTGATTGAATATTGTGTGTTGTGACATATAATATTTGCCAATTTTAATAGACCTACTACGATCACTAGAGGATATTGCCAATGAGGGGAAAAGCATAGCAAACAAGAGTCCACATCTGCTAGACCAGAAAACTATATGCTCACCATGAACGGGATTTTGGAGAAAAGGTAAGGATTAATGAACACTCAAGAGATAGTGTGTACACTATGCTTCTGTGACTTCAGTAGGCACTGGTATAAGAATCTTTTCAGAGGAACTAGACATCCGACGATCTTTAATATCTATCGGATGGCTGTAATGTTTTACAAGCAGAGGTTGACACTATAAAGGAAGCGGCCAGTTGTATACGAGGGAAAATCGCTGATAGACCAATAAGAGATATCGTGATATACACTGACAGCTTAGGCGCTGTAAGGTTTATTCTCACTATACCTTCCGTATCAGCCCCCTTCCGTTTACATAAAATATTATATCTTGTAAATGAATAGGACAATGCACACTATATCCGTTCCGTTTCCCTTCCGTTCCATATCCCTTCCTTCCATACATTTTTTTGGCGGACGAACTGCAGCGTATCGGAAACAGCGTTGTCAAGTTCTTACATTTGTACCAGCTCTGTTAACATTTTGCTGATAGTTATTTATTCTTTCACTTCTTAATTAAATTTATTGCCTTTTTCAAAAGATACACATTTTTAAAATAAAACTTTCGTAATGATATAAATTGTAAAATAAAAAGTATGGAACTAATACGGAACGGAAGCTTACGTATAGCGTCAATACAATAAAAATACGGAACGAATATGGAAACAGAAGGTATAGTGAGAATCAACCTTTAAGAAGCATCACCATATAACCAGTGAGATGGAAAACTGCGATGGACTGCCGAGAAGCACTGTCCTGGCTGCGTCAAGGCGGGGTTAGTCATGGGTAAGCGCTGCGCGGCGCAATTGGGTTGATACACTTTATTGATTGATTCGATACCTTGCGTAAAATGTATATGACGCAAAGCGCAGTTGTCAGGTTAGCGTTGGCACCCCTGACAAGACGTTGTTAGTAGCTGGTTTTGCGTTATTGCGTTGCATTCATTGAACTAAATACAAAATATACGGGCGTCGGTCGGTCGTTCGTAGGCGACAGTGAAGTGAACTGCTTAAATGCGCTATTGCGATAGTGTATTACTTTATCAATGAATATGAATAGAATATGGAACCGTGGTCGCGTAGCTCACACGCGAACACGGTTTCATGATAATCTAGGCCTAGGCTTTAAGATATTAATATTCGTAGTTCCTGTGTAGGGGTCCTGGGTGGTGGTGGGTTTGTGTCTCCATGCTTTTTTTATACTATATTTAATATTAATAATATTTTATTAATTATTATATTTTTAATATTTACTATATAACAAAATTTTCTAATAAACCTTTAAATCTAAATTTTTCCTTTAGAGAGGTAACTTTCATAGAAACTGAAACGCCATAAATTCGTTAAAAAATAAGCATAGTAAAGATATTTATAACATGACCATTCCACTAGTTCAAAAAGTAATAAATTTATCAATATATCCTCTAACTAAATTATTCAATAGATATATAAGAGACGGTACGTATCCCAGTAGTTTAAAAATTTCCAAAATCGTACCAGTATTTAAAAAAGGTGATCCTGAAAGTGTGAATAATTATAGACCTATAGCTTTAATACCCACACTTTCAAAAATTTTTGAATGTTTATTGAAACACCAGTTAACACATTACTTTGAATCTAATAACTTGTTCATAGAGAATCAGTTTGGGTTTCGTAAAGGAAAATCTACAACAATGGCTTGCATTCGTTTGATGGAAGATATAATTGAGGGTTTTGAGAGCGGTAACTATGTTGGTTCGGTCTTCTGTGACCTTACCAAGGCCTTTGATTGTGTGGATCACAACATACTTTTACAGAAAATTTCATATTATGGAGTAAATAATTTGAGTTCGAAATTATTGGCTGATTATCTTGTAAACCGATCTCAACAAACATCAAATTCAAGGCTCAGTATTAGGACCTTTATTGTTTTTAATTTACATTAATGATTTACCCGTGGCTACACTTCAGAATAATTTGATTTTGTTTGCCGATGACACTACTATCTTATGTGCTCGGAAATCCCCTGAAGAAATTCAAACTAATTTTGAATCGATTTTGCTAAATGTTGGTGACTGGTTGTGACAACCGATTATGCCTGAATAACACTAAAACAGAAAGAGTTATTTTTTCTCTTAAAACAAAATATAAAGTAGATTTCTGCAGTGTCCGATTTCTGGGAATAAAATTTGACACAAAACTGAGTTTTGAAAGTCAAGTAGACTATGTGGCAAGGAAGGTTTCCATAAGCATGTATGCATTTCGGCGATTGGCTAAGTGTGTGGAGAGTGATGTGTTAGTAGCTGCCTATCATGCTCTCATTCACTCGGTGCTTACTTATGGAATACTTGTTTGGAGTCACTCAGCTCATGCTGAGAGACTGTTTGGACTGCAAAGAAAAGCATTGAGAATTTTGTCAAATTTAAGTTATCAAGCAGATACAAAAAACGCCTACAGAAGACTGGGAATACTGACACTTCCATGTTGCTATATCCTCCAATGTCTTTTATTTGTGAAGGATAACCTAGAACTTATACTACGCATGATGAACAACACAATTATGCAACCAGAAACAGAATGAATATAAAGCCTGTTCATTTGCGCCTCGGAAGATCTTGGAACTCCAGCCTTCATTATGCTCCTGCATGCTTTAATAAATTATCTCAAAATGTCAGAAATTTACCAAGACATCAATTTAAAACGACAATTAAAAGCTACCTTCTTGATACGGCTTATTTTAGTGTTACTGATTTTTTAGAAAGCAGTAAAGGGTTATAGCGTGGTTATAGGTTAAAACATTTACATTGTGTATGTATTTTTTTGTGTACTTTAAATTACTGTTAGATAATTATTGTGCTTATTTTATAATTTTGCATTTTACAAAATATGACTTTGTGTAAGGATACTTGTGTCTATTAACATGCAATAAATGATTTGATTTGATTTGATTTAAAGGAAAGAAAGAACGAATTCCTTTATTAGGTATAACAAACATATAACATAAAATATTCTCTAAAAAGTGAAAATAAATATAAAATCCCAATAACTTAAAAAATCAAATAATATCAAATATAATGAAATTGATGAATGAATATCAAATATAATAAAAATCAAAAATAATGAAAACAAAAATAAAGTCTTAATAAAAGATAACGTAGTAAAGTAGTAAAGTGTTTCTTTAAACTAATATGTCGATTCTACAAACGATGTCGGTAAAAAACTAATAAACCCTAACTTAAGCTAAAATTCGAATCTCAAAGGTCAGTGTTATTTAAATTATAATTGAGAAAAATTATTTCTGATTTTTTTTCTTTTCAATTTCGCGCGTCTCTATTACGTACTTGAGAGTGTATTGGTCGAATTGGTCCGACGTCCGACCGTTCGTAGTTTTGGCTCTGTACTGTATCATCATACAAGGATACAAGGAGGTGCTCCAGCGTTATAGTATCAGCGCAATAAATTTCAGTGTGCAGTTCACTCTGTGCTGGGTGCCAGGCCACAGCAATGTGGTGGGCAACCAAGAAACGGACAGACTCGCCGTAGTCGGGGCCGGGCCGTAGCCAATTAGGGGCCATGGGAGAGGCCGTGGCAGATAACCCACCACTTGTGACGGATCTACACACTATCTAGGAACTACCATTTTAAGGCTATAGGAACTACCATTAAGACCAAGCAGCAAGAGACGTGGCAACACTGTAAGGGCTGCGCGACAGCTTGAAGACTGTGGCCAGTGATAGCAAAAAGACAAATCAACTACTAGAGCACAAAAAGAACATAGTACGCATAATTGTGTCGTCACTGGAAACTACCCCACGGGAATAAACCTCGTGAGATGGAAGATTTCCAATGACGACTACTGCAGAGAAGAAATCATAGAGCACCTGCGTAGCAGAAATCAACGTCAGCGACATTGGGAACTTTGTAAAGAGCTAGAAGTGCTTTAACGTAAAGAAAAAATGGGAGGAAGGTATGGTACAATAATACAGGGGTATCGCAATAGGCCCAAGGCCTCCGAGTGAGGGATCAAACAGGATCTCAAACCCCAGCAACCTAACTTAACCTAACCTACAATGTTAATATTATATAGAAAAATCATTGGTATCGGGAAAGCTCAAAGGAAACAATTATATTCTGTGGGTCGTCAGGTATTAAAACATTTAAAAGATGTCTATACCTATGTGGCGGATTCATCTCTCCAAAAAAATTCTATATCAATCTACAAAATAAAATAGTTATTTTTTGTAAACACTGCTGCGTCAATCCAAACGAAAACTACTTGTCAGCAGTTAGGATTACAGATATGCAAATTTGCCTAACGAACAAAAAAATGGTTAACGTTTCGGAAAGTTTATCTTTCCGTCGTCCGAAGCAAAAAAAAATACAAAAAATAAAGAAAAAACTATTTAAAATATTTAAGTTCAACTATTCGAGAACACTTTTTTAAACCAGATACGTCTACGAAAACCGTTGACGTTCTGTTAAAATGACATTATATCAAGTTAAAAAAGTTAAAACATTTAGTATTCCCAATGCCTACGAAAATGATCTATGGCGACTCTATAACCGGTCACACTAGAAAAACATACACGATTTGAACAAATAAACTACGGAAACTTTTTTGTACGATGCACACCATCGTTAGTATATGATGTGGTACTAGTTTTAGTGCCTGGAGTCGCGAAACGTCGCACAAAATATAATTATTTCCTTTGAGCCTTACCAATACCCACGAATCTTTCTATATATTAATTACTGGGAACAATCCAGTATACAATAATCATAATTTTAATAATCTAATGATATCAAAAACTTACCCATATATAATATGAAGGCAAAATGCTTCCAATCATAGCAAAAATATTGAACGTAAGGAAACATAGAATTTGTCGATATATTTCGCCATTTTGAATGAAAAAGTTTGGACTGCTCTTTTTAATATCTGAAAAATATGATTTATGTAACATTAATTTTAATAAGTTTTATTAGTTGTTTGAAATGTTGTTTTATTAGTTTGTAACGAAAATAAGCACTTCCAAGACATATTCCTGAAGAAGCATTACATTAAATGCGAAACGTCAAAGATATATTTTTAATTGACCATAGACACAATACCCAAGAAACAATTAATAAGACTTATTATATAAAGGCTAAAGAATAATTACATTCGTTAATTTTAACTACTTAATAATCTAAAACCTAGAGGTATAATTTACAAGAAGCTTACTGAAAGAAGCTACAACATATCATTCAGCTCATTCAGTATAACCAGCTTACTAGAACTACAGCTTATTGAGTATCCGTATCCGTATTCCCTTACACATAGCTTACAGAATAGCAAATTTCAATATAAAAGACCATAACTGGTACCTACTGAAGAGGCTGTTATCTACTTCACAAAAGATGACGATTGCGTCAGACTTTTTTTCTTTTTTTTTCTGATAATTTTTTCAGAGAGTACTATTGAACGAATTTATTACCGTTATAAGGTGATTAATATAGCATAGAGGATATAATAGAGGTTAGAGATGAGCAGAAAATCGCAAACTGCGATTAAAGCTTGATTTTCACGCATCCGTTGTCCGACGATACGATAATACGATACTAATTTTATTGGTTGAATTTAAAGGCTTCAATTGGTTAACTGTTTCTAACCAATCGAAGTCTTTAAATTCAACCAATAAAATAAATATCGTATCATCGTATGGTCGGATAATGGATGCATGTAAATCAAGCTTTAATCGCAGCGATTGTAAATTCGCGATCGCAACCTGCGATTCCTTTCCATAGCAAACTGCGACTTGCGATTGAAACATCTATCTGCCGATTTTGGATTTTAGGCAACCAATATTACACCAGTTGTGATTTGCAATCGCAGTGGGTACGCGAACGAAAATCCCAGCATTGCGATTTTCGTTCGCATCGGCGCGGCTGTGCATCGACACGGCACTGAGCGACTGAGCAGGCGAACGAAGAGCTGGGAACGAAAATCGCAGCGCTCGAAAAACATTGCAATTTTCATTCGCACCGGCCGGCGGCAGCGCGGCATCAACACGGCAGTGGGCAGGCAAACGAGGAGCTGAACATAAAACCTTGGTGCCTTCAACATCAAAACTGGACAACTGAGAATTGGCAAAATGTTTTTTTTTTCGGATGAGAGCAAAATTGGTCTAAGATCAGATGACCATCGAATTTGGTCTCTCAGAGCTCCAGGAAGACGAGCGAGACTCCAGGCTGCCAAATCTGTACCAAGATATAAAGGAGGAACTGTAATGTTCTGGGGAGGTATTATGCTGGGAGCAAAAACTCCATTGTTACCACTTCAACAAACTTTATCGGGTCGGAGGTATGTTGATTTAGTGCTAGAACTAATCGTTAGTCTTTGGAGAGCTGCAATTGGGGATAATTTTAACTTCATCATAATACCTAACCTCTCCGTACCAGCAGAGTGACTACAGAATGTCTTGAAACGGAAGGTGTCATATAGTTTCAGACTGGCCTGCATGTTCGCCAGATCTAAACCCTATCAAACACTAGTGGGACCAGCTCAAAAGAAGGATTAGAGCTCGTCGAAACAATTCAGGAAATCTCGCACAGCTTGTTGATGCAGCATTAGCAGAATGGGAAAACATACCTCAAAACAACGTTGATAATTTAATAAAAAGCATGCCAGCACGGCTAGAAGCTTGCATAAGGGCTAGAGGTGGCAACAAGGATTTTTGAAATTATCAATTTTCTCTTTGTTTTTGCTTTTTGACCTTTTTAAAAATTTAAATCTCATTTCGTTTCAGAAACTAAAATAATACCATTGTGTTTATTTTGGGAAGTGATTATTTTTTTATTGCTATATGGATTATTTTTCATTAAAAGTCATTGGTAAGGACCGAGTTTTATTCATAAACACAAAATGTTCATACATCTCAGAAACTATGAAAAATAACAGATGATTCCGTATAAGTTTGGTTGTGTGTATTAGTACAACTTGATTTCTTAGTTCATCGGAATATTGAATCGAACTGTACAGGGTGGGTCAAATTGGACGCTTTTAAAGGGAAACACCCTTTTCTATAGGAGATAGACGAAAACTAATATCGGTGTCTGGAGCTCAATTTTTATCAAAAACATGATGGTGGAAACCGCACATGGATATCTATTACCGTTTCGGAGTGTTTTTCAAAAATGTGCATTTTTATAAAATCGGTATAACTTTTTTGCTATGGAAAATTTTGTATTTTTGTGAAAACATTTCTAAAGCACCTTTTACGTAAAATTTAATGGTTTATGTATTTTTTTTTTAAATTAATAATTTCATAATTATCAACAGAAAATTTGATTTTATATATGGGACACCCTATAATTTTCTAATTAATTGAAAAGAATTTAAAATTACCTTTCCAAAAATATAGCATACTTGATATATTGCTCGATTCCTCTTTTTTTTAAAGAGTTTTTAAAAATTCGCCCACTTGAATAAGTAGGCTTTGATCGATGCCGACTGTAATGCAAAAAAATTCTAGCTGTGAACAGCAATTAAAACGAAAATTATATTGTCAATGAGAGATGCAGAATTTTATAACAATTTAAACAATATTTAGCGCCATTAACACATTCAAATTATATCTAATAACAATAAAAATGAATAGCAAACCAAAACATGAGATTTTGCTACAGGTGTGATTGGCATGTCGACCGTCTTCTGTTGTGGACAGACGGGACCGTTTTTGACCATTTCTAGCGGAATTCATTAACTCAGTGGGGTGAAAGATACCCTCGCATAACCGCTAAGTACTTTTAAACAAAAACCTTTATTCTTCCGCAAAAATAAAAATCCACTATGGATAACAGGCACTAAGTCCGGCGGCCTCGACGGCCAAAGACTGGGATCGTTTTTACAGAATTCTATTATTCCGCGAAATACAAAGTTATGGGCAATTTTCCAAATGGTCAAAAATTCAAAAAGACCCTGTATCTGGGTTGGCAGTGAAAATATCAACAGGCGGTTTACGCCATTAAACGTTTCTCAGAAATCGAGCCCATGACATCTATGTCGGTTTTGCTCTATCTAGTCAGGAAATAGGGTTTCTCTGTTAAAACAGACGAATTTCGACCACCCTGTACATTACTTTTTTAATTCGTTAGAATTAGAATATTTAGTAAGACGCAATCGTCTTCTTTCGCGAATTGCACTGTACAAAACCATTTTATCATAGATAATTACCTGCTTGAACAGCTGGAAAAGTAGCTAGGGTAACGAAGAAAATGAAAAATACGTTGTACAATTGCGGGAAAGCTTTCTTAATGATTTCCATATATGGTTGTTTTTCGGTTACGGCCGTAGTCGCTTTTCTTTGCTCCTGCATTTTCTTTTC